CGTCAATTCACGTCAGATTCATTGAAGTCAGTCTTATCGAGGTCACGTCCATTTATACTGTACGAAAAGTCATAAAAGTAAATGTGTTCATGTTAATCTCCCAATATGTCACACGATAAAGCAACTAAATAAAATCCCATATCCATTTTACAATAATTACCGTAAAGTTTATCGGGGTCACCTCCATAATTCCACAATATGTCAATATTGTAAAAATGATGACGGTCATGGCCACACAATGTAAGATAAGTTGATTATTACTGGACGGGCCAACATAAAAGCACATGTGCAGTCTGTGGTCACGGAGCAGCTCAACATGGCACAAGTAGATTCAGTTATCTTCATGGTGTCTTATAGAAACATTGTACCCAAAGAGGTACTTTACTTGTGTACTGCTTCTGCCAGCTGTATTTAGTGCCGCTGAACAATCAAAAACTACTACTTTTTTTCCATTTATTAGGTACATAACAATAATATCCGTTATGGGATTGGACAGAGTAATGCCAGTTATTCTGGAGGCACGTCTCACTCTGTAAAGACAATGTTACGAGCGGCCATTGCAAACTTTGACATCCGATGGGTTTCCTATTGATTTTCAATGTCAGTGATCTGATCTAACACAAAATACGGGAGGTGTGAAATTATGGACATCATCACCGGCAGTCAGCAAAACACTTACTAGCCCTCTGTTCCTACTACAGCTGATACAGCACGGCCCTGGATGAGGTGTCGAGAAAATGCCAACACACAAGTTCAGGGTTACATCCCTGTGATCCAGCACAAACGATAATCCAACAACTTGTTCTAATATGTAACACATATTCTGTTTGAACCTGTAACTTCACCATTCTGTTTATGTTTCAGCCAAGATATTAAAGTGCAAACCAAAAGGCTTGAGCAGTATTGAGTTTTCTACTATTAGTCCACAGGCCCCCAAACGTTTTGACGCCAACCATCACAAAAGGCACCTGCCGACTCAACAAATGTTTCAAACTCACCCCGCGAAGGCCTTCCGCTTCGAAACCATTGAGGTTTGCATAAAGCGAGTGGTGCCTTTTCCCCAACAATGACGAAGTGACGTTCGCCGGGATCGGGACGGCCTTGTCCGAGAGCTCGCGCTGCTCCTCGTCCTCCTCTCGCGACCCCCTCGACTCCAGCTCACGTTGCCCGGGAGCCTCCGCCGCCTCAACGCCCTCCATGTCTGCGTGTGCCGGTGCAGGCTCGGGCTGCTCAGGCCGGGTGCAAAGGTCATACATCGCTCACTGTCGAAGTCAAGCGGCACAGGCGGAATCAACAGGACTAAACGAGGCGCCCGGCTGATACAGAGCCATAGCAGTGGTTTCTTCAGCCGGGGGAGAATCACCCGGAATCAGCTGTGGCTGCTGGACCTCAAAGCAATAAAAGCTGTCACCGTCCTCTCCGGCGGCTCACGGAAACTGTTACGGTCATGCTCGGTTGGGTTGGTAGCCCCTATTAAGTGGGGATAGTACGCTGACAGAAACGGTACCAGTGAGGTTCCTTGCCTCTGAGTCTGTGTGCCATATCCAAGACCCAGCCCCAGTTAAATCAGCAGGTGTAAAGAACCCACCCCCCCCCCGCTCTTGCCGCTGTGACGTTTCTCCGAAACAAGGACAACCGGCTCCAAAGGGATCCACAATATTTTCGAGCCTTGGCTTAAATGCGTGTCGTCCTCCTGCTAGCATTCCCCAGCATCCTGTGGTTAGTATTCATCACAGAGTAGCATTCAGACCCCCCACCGTTTCTCCGTGCCGTACCGCTCTGCTATCGTCTGGAGGATGGCGAGGGGGGGGACATTAGTATAACTACATGAGCAGAAAAACGGAAAAGACACAACAGTCCATTTAACCTTCGTAGCGGCGAGATAGCTCAGGGAGGCCCAACAGATAGCCAAACAAGGAGAGACGTGCAATGGAGGAAGAAGGTACCAAAAAAAAAAAAAAAAAAGAAGAGAGGGTTTTAACTAACAGGTCTCCACTCCGGTCCCCGTCCTCTCAGCGAGGCGGAGGTGTGGGCGGCACGTTGACTCTCCGGCTGCGAGTCTGTCCTTCTCATTGACGCCGCTGTGTGCAAGAGGCATTTCATCTACATCCAATGCGGCTCGGCAGGCGGTTTAATCCCGTCTCGGTTACAGCGTCATATAGGTGAAGAAAGAGGACGCAGGGAAAATGTGTGTGTGTGTGTGTGTGTGTGTGTGTAAGACAGCGAGTGTCGCCAAGAGAGCAGGGGGGTGGGGAGGACTGCTTCCGCCGTCCTATCACAAAAAGGCAGGCTTTGAGTCGGGGCCCAATCATGACCGCGACCGGAGCCCGTTTCCATGGAGATGACGCTGGAATGATGTCGGCTGCCTCTTGAACAATCAATAGGCATCCACACTGCGACGTAGGGAGGCTGCTGGAGGCAGGCAGGGGAACAAGTGGGTCCTGTCCAGGCTAATTCGGAGGTTTCAGTGTAACAAATAACATGTCTATGAGGTGATGAAGGCTGCTTTTGTGTTGGTGATATAGCTCTAAAAAAGTGTAAATGCAAAAGAATAACTCAGTCGGTTTACAAATGATCTTGTCATTTAGCCGCACTGCCCAACTCCCTTAAATAATATGTTATTTTAGATCCAATGAGCAACTGAGCAAAGCAGCTTAATGAATCTCATTAGTAGGCAGCGGCCTGGGAGGGCTGGTAGGGGGTTGATTAACTTATTTGGGAACAGTGAATAAAATAGAAGGAAATAATTTGAATAAATTAATAAATGCTGCTGCTATCAAACTAGTAGTAGTAGCTTTGAGTAGAGAAAATGCATGAGTTTGGAATCCATATTTCACAACCATAACAACTCACTGGGACTCGTGGTCAGACGTTGCAGTGGCACTTAAAACTGCCGCCCGCTGCGACAGAATACGTGCAGCTGGTTGCACTGGGGTTTAATGGCACAGACAAAGAAAGCGTCCTTTAATAACCCGATCGCCTCTGTTCTGGTGCAGATACTGATCTAGTGCACCGGATCGGTGCGAGCTGGGGACAAGTTGGTAAATTCCACAAATCAATCAACTCTGGTGGAAAATAGTCATGTCCACTAGAGTGGACTTCACAACTGTGGAACAGATGCTGTTGTGTTTGCATTTGAGAGTCGGCTACTATCGCAGTCAGAAATGTTATTTTAATCATCCGCTGCGAACATACACAGTATCAAAGTGCACATGAAGACTGCTCGCTGAGGCTTTGGCGTGTGGCTGTTTTGATGAAAGGCGACTGTCTGCCTTGTGTTGCTGTAAAAAGGTCACTGTTAGGAAAGCCAAAGCAAAGTTAAAAATAGACGTAGTGCCTTCATCTTTTTTCGCAAGTGGCAATTTTCTGGTACACCACGAGTGTTTACCATCGCTCAGGCTGAAAATCAAAGTGACATCCTATCTTACGATTTGTGCACTCAGTAACACAAGGAATAAAAAAAAAGGTTAACTTTCACAGATGGAAAAATGTAAGATTCTCAGCCAGACAGATCACTCCGGGGAGAGTAGCTTCCTATTTTGTCCGAACGCGGCACTTCACAGCTTCAGCGTATTCCCTTATTATTTACAGTGTGCTGACGGGCCGTGTCTGGAACCAAGCCTGCTGACGTGAACTCCACTGAACATTACTTACGACAACAAAAGGAAAACTCAAAAAGGTCAACCAAGGTGCCGACAGGAAAACAACCGACAATCAGACAGCCGTGCTGTTGTGGACTTACGTCACGCTGAATAGAGCAGACGTTTGGTGACTGTAAAACAAAGGAAAGCTTCCAGGCAGCATAACTCAATGCATGTCAGACAGCGTTACGCTCGGCACAGAGTGGGATCGACGTCCAGTCATCGCGCTGACATATTTTGACAATGTGTGCTGTTACGAGAACAAAGAGCCGACTGCTGGTTAAATACATCTCGTCCAACTGGGTTGTATCACATCAAATAATGGAAACACACTTTTCTATCGTTTTATCTAAACTGTCTTTGGATTATTTTAGAAAATCACAAATGCCATTTAAATAGCAAGCACACCATACATAAATGTGTATGCTCACTGTTGCACCTTTCTTCATAAGCAGCACTCAGAAATATTCTCATAATGAATTAACTATTTCTGAATTTGCAAACAAAGAAGAAAAAAAAGAAGCAAAAATAGCATTGTATTCAACCTAAAAAGGAAATTTTAAAAGACAATGAAAAAAAACTATTGTCATTAGCAAATGTAATAAAGTGAATAACAGTTGACACACTATTGAAAATATCATATAAATAATTGAAAGAGGCACGAGTCGATTATTGTTTTTGAGGGCCACGCAAGCGGGCCCGGCTGCTTAGACACAGTTGGAAGCTTTGATTAATTATTAAATTTCCTCGCTATGTCATGAATCCAAAATTTGAGAAAAACTGACCCATTTCTGCCACTCGAACAAGAGTCATGAACAGATGCACCCACATGTGCTCGCATGTCGAATCAAACTCCAAAATGTTGTTGTTGTTTATCTCTCCATCTTTACACTGCTGGCGACACACCACTTGCTGCCCTGACAAACATTCTGGCGGCTGAGAATTAGACCATGTGCTGAGATTGGTTCAAATAGGAGAGATTTGAGGCAAAAGACTGACAATAACATTACATTTTGTATATCGTCAATACGTTTTGATGGTATTGGTCAGCATTGCCCTCCTGTATAATTACCGTGATGATCATCTTTTTATTAATTTATTCCAAGCCTAGTTCTACATTGATTTACATCTCATTAAAAAGAAGAATGTTATTGCTGCAATCCTTCTGGTTTTCATAATTATGTAATGAGACTATGAAGTAAAACCCCGACAGAAAAAGACATCATACGTTGTCTATATGCCAGGAGTGCAACCAACACACAGTAAGCAGCTCCAGAGTTAGAATAGAAAACATTAAATCCTTTACACTCCCTTTATTTGGGAACCATGTGTGGAATTTGGAAGACTGAAATAGCTCACCTCCATGTCTCCGTCCGTGCATTTGGAGGACTCAGCGCAGCAGGGGGGGCGGTCGTCCCGGCCGGCATGGGGAGCGTCGTCAGGGTGCCAAATACCCTGGAGGCCGCTCCGACAGGTGTCCACGACTGCAGCGGTGGTGCGGGGGTCTGCGGCACAGAGAGCCCCCCCTAAATGCGGCTCTCTCCCAGCTGGTTTGATTCCCCTATTAGCCGAGTGGGGGGCCGTCTGGGCCCCGTGTGGCGAGGCCCCTGAGTAGGTTAGGAGAGGCTTTGTCTGGCAGGAGTTACTGCCGTTTTCCTGAGCTGGTTTTCTTGAGAGACCGTTAGAAATGTAGCTGGGGTGTCCTGCCCCGTGCCTCCCCTGCAGCACTCTCCCGTGGGCCTCTAGCAGGTGGCAGAGGAAGACGGCTTTTTCCAGCTCAAATTCCTGCCTGTGACACAGCTTATGGACCGGCTGCTTGCCCTTTATCTTCTCGTACAGCGTCAGCAGCAGATGATCAAGCTTCCTGTACGTTTCTCCACTGCACAAACCTAAAAACTCTTTCCCTGTCGACTTAATTCCGGCGCACAGAGCGCCGTCTTTGGGGTCCACCTTCCAACGCCGGTCTCCGTCAGAGGGCCCGTCCTTCCGGCCCCTTTTCCTTGCCGCCGGCTCCCTCACTGCCTGCTGCCGATCCTGCTCCGCCTCTTGCAGGAGGCACCGGCGCTCCACAGAGAGGGGTCCACGGGCCCGCCGGATCTGCTTCTTCTCTGCTTCCCAGTCAGTCCGCAGCCTCCCAAGCTTCAGTCCGCAGTCCGCCTGGACCCGGCACGGCTTCTTGGACGACAGTGTTGGAGGGTTATCCCTGTCCGCCCTCATCACGACCCGTTCACGGCACAACATGCGAGGAACGGCAAGATGCGTGGATTTCTAAAAAGGGTCCATGCAATCGGAAATGAGAGGGCCGTGCGAGTGGGCGAAAGTTGGGTTATCAGACATGCAACGTGCAGCGATCACCCCAGGTCACTGAAGAGGCGTGAGAGAATATCAGAAAGCGTTACAGCTGCATTCAAGTGTTTAAGAGGTTTTCAAGAGTGGGGAGAGCAGGCAATGATTTCACTATTTATGTTAAAGGAGGGATTCAGATGAAAAGGAGAAGATGGCAGGACTCGGAGGAGCTTTAGAAAAGCAAGCACATTAAAAATAAATTAATTTAGGACTTTTCAGAAAAAACTTCTCTATGCAGTAGTGAGCAAGGCGGATGTGTTAAAGGTGCGAGCTTGGTAAGTCTTAACTAGTTTGTATGGATGCATGCATGACGTAATGGTGAATTACATGTGCATTCCACCGGCAAATCAGGGCTACCGGACACTTGTTTTAATGTGTTCTATCCAAACCGGGCAGAACTAACAACTTTTAAACAGACAACAACATGAGAATAAAACAGCACGAGCACGCAACAGGTGGACCGCTAGCGGTCACTACGGAGGACGGGGTCTGCGCTCAAAGGCTAATTCACAATTTAGCAAGCTTTTATATGTCCGAGCAGCGATAGGTCATGCCAATTCATTTATGGCTATTTAGTAAGCCGCATAACAGTCTTACGTGTATTGAATGACCACTAACCGGTGTTAGCTGTGCGGTTGCGTCCTGTTAGCCTGTTAGCTCACCGTTACGCGTTCTGCCCACAACTCGTATCAAACTCAACAGCGGACTCTCAGGTCTCATGTTTTAACTTCTCGTCGACGGACTCCGCCTCTTTCGGCCAAGATGCTTATTTGGCCCGCGTCAAAAGCAGGCCCGCGGGGGCCAACGAGTGTTTACGTCGTCGTTGTTGTTGTTGTTGTTAAAGGTCCGGGGAGCCACGCTAGAAGGGGTTTGTTTACCTGTGAAGCGCACAGTGTCACGCGGCGTCACTGCGCTGACCCGTCCAGGCACAATGATGCCTTCACGTGCCCCTCCTTGCGTCCCCTCGCAGCGCGTGAGCACCGGCTGCAACTCGTTAAAACTTCCGTAAATACCCAATTGAGATTAAATTTCGATTTTGAAAGGAAAGGGCAATGCATTTGCAAAAACACACCGAGGTGAGTTATGCTGTTTAATAAAAGTTTTTTAGTTATTCTAGATATCCGTATCACATGCTTCTAGTTAAACGTTTTCCTACCGCTTAACCCTCTACTTAATATACAGTTAGGCCTTTAGTAGCTGTATTTACAGATTTGTTATTTGTGCTTTTTTTACAATAATTTCAGTATTGCCAACACTCCCTGAAGGCCACATAATCATTGAGACCTTCTTATGGACGCGCGGATGGCCTCCCGATTCATGGAGGGAGATCTCCACAAACGTCGGAGAGGTGCACAAAGTTGTGGAGGAAAATATGGGACAAATGTGCATGCGCGGCACCCGTGAATTCTTTAGCGAAAATCCCTAAACCAAAACCCATTCATTCTCTATGTTAGTGCTAAACCACTACGGATGTAATATATCTTTGGCCACCGGTGGCGCTGTTGTGCGGACCGAGCGTGTACCCGGATGTAAAGCGTTTCTCCGGACATTCTCCGTCAGTCTACCCGGGAAAGAGCACCGAAGCGACAGTCCACCTCTGTCGGACCTCGCGCTGTGAGGAAGTCACTAAACAGTAAGTCAGTGACATATAATGTGTAATATTTATATATATATATTATTCAGATAAATATGCAGCGTTTGCTGCTGTACGTCATTTAACACAGATTCTAACTGTTCATCATATACTGTTTAAACATTATATACTGTAAACGTACTTCGAGAACAGCCAGCTATAAATGTCTTTAGCTGTAAATACTAACAATATAGTATATGTTACTCTATACCCTGTATATTTATAATGCTAATAATTTTGTATATTACATTATATTCTGTATACATATTATGCACATACTGAGAGAATAGTAAACTATAAACGTCGTTATCCATAAACACTGTACTTTAGTACAAGTGTCATGTCTGTAAATGCATTTATGTCAGTGTCACGCCACATGTTAGTTTATAGTTCACGTGTGTTTGACTGCATCAATTACTAGTTGCATATCACAGATGTTACTCAACTAATAAATGAGGATCTTGTAATAGTTTAAACGACCAGAATTGTTTAAAGTCAGTCAAATGTAAACACATTAATGCCTCAATGATTAGGATATATTATTATATTAGGAATATATGATATATTTGGCATCACGACTAGTTTAATCTTTCATTAAAGTTCATTTGGATGCTAAGTCCCTGAAGCCCATGTACGAGGGACTGGCACAGCGCTACAGCGCTGCAGGCATAGAAAAGGCACAATCCCAGGGGGTAGACAGGTAAATTATATCAATATTTTTGACCATCAGTGGTGACACAACCGGCTCATAATCACAACTTAGATTACTTTTCATTTTTTTCAGTTTAATTAAAGAAAAGCCTTTTGTATTAAATTTTATTAAGGTTGCCGATGTCACTTCTGGTAACCTCCCGAAACACATGTGCTTCAAGATCACATTTTAATGCAAACGTTAATATCAAGCTGGACTTGTTTCACTGCATGAGGCGGTTCCTCCGTGAGTGTGTGTCTGAGCATCACGCCCTGTACAGTTCCTTTGCTCAGTTCCTCTGGACTGGGACCACTAGTGTGCCAGTTTTTACGATGTGTTGCAATTGTTCACCCACCTCCACCTGTTCAGATGCTGACTCAAGCCTCTGTTGAGAAGATTGCACTCGACATCATGGAAAAGCAGCAGGAACAACAACAACCACCGAGGCAAAAGAAGGGACACACGAAAAGGTGTCTTTCCTGTGGCCAGCCAAAGTCTAGGTATGAAAATGATGGTTCTTCAATCCACTTCTTCTACCAGCAGGGCCCGGTCCGATACTTCTACTGCTCCGCTAAAGTTTTTAAAACTTATGGTGCTGAAGGTCTGACAAACCCCAAAATGCCTTTTGTAGACTTTACTGAGACAGTTCTCTCAGCTAGAACTGGATGCCACACAGAAAAGGGTGGCAGAGAAAGGACCGCAGAAGAGGAAAAGAACTGATTGCCAGTCCGCAGGTCGCAAGTGTCTGTTCTGTAAGATGGAACTGAAGCAGGGCCCAAACAGTCGTCACATTCACACTGGGTTCCCTGGAGTAACAGGGAAGTACATTTTCTGCCCGGTTAAAATCTTTTCACTATACAAAGACCATGGACATGGAAATGACGTGGAGAGAGTTCCAGGGGTCTGCTTTCTTTGAGAAAGAAAAACAGAGATGGGAGGCTGAAAGGAGGAATGAAGAGAAATAATAAGGGGAGTTCCATCCAGAATTTTAAGTCCAATTATTTGTAATATACATGTTGTAATTAGTTTATATATTGTTTTCTTGCATTTGTGACTTTGTACATTAAATATTATCTTTTTATTTATTCTTTATATTTGGTTTTATGGTTTGATAGTCATTAGTTGAATTATTTGGATGTCTTTATTTCGGTAACATTTTTGTTTGTATAGGACTATACACGTTAATAAATATATTTCAATTACTAATGTCTTCATGTGTCATCAATAAGTGAATCACTGTAGTGAACAGTAAAATAAGTTGGTCTGTAAGTATAATCTAGTGATAACCAGTAGACAGCAGATTGGAGTAAACATTTCCTTTATTTGTTAATAGCTGAAAACAGCATAATGACATTGAACCACCGACCTTGTGGTTCCCAGATCACCCTCTCTACTCCATGCGCCAGTTACATTTCAAACCTATGAAAGAGTTTAACTCGCAAATGAATCTGATCTTGACACTGGATAATGACCTCAGCTCTTTTGTACAATTGACGCTGTAAGACTGTGTAAGAGTTAAATCAACTTTATGCAGTGTGATTTCAACTCTGCACTTTTGTCTAACACTGGAAAATTAACTCTAAGAATTTTAACAGCTTTAGCTGTGCACTCTCTAAATAAATGAAGGCAACTTGATGCATTTCCCTGAAGCCCCAACGTGGAAACGAATGAAAAGTCTGAGTAGCTGCTGACGGGAATCTGAAGAGCAGCAGCTGCCAGAGCTGGAACAACAGAGCCGGGGCAGGAATGCTTATACCCTGGAAATTCAATAAGCATTTCATGTTAAAGAAAGAGAAGGGAGAATGGAAGACAACTGTGCGGTGTCACAAACTACCTCCTTTTAGGGTCCAAAGACTCCCAACATGAAGAAGCATCTTAAAGTAAGTTTATCTTTTAATTAGCCAGGGGTCGTCACCTGCTGTAGTTCTACTGCTCACCTTGCTATTGTGTAGTTGTATCAGCCAGACATGCGACTTTACATGTCGCCGGTGGGTAACGTGTTCGAGGCACAGCGGACACTCGCCGACCAGATACGGCGTGTGGAGCGGACCAACCCGGACTCCTTAGTTATTGCCCTCGGGAACTTTAACAAAGGAAATCTCACCCATGAACTTCCTAAGTACAGACAGTTTATTAAATGCCCCACCAGAGAGGAGAACACGCTGGATCACTGTTACACGACAGTAAGCAGGGCTTATCACGCCGTCCCTCGTGCTGCACTGGGACACTGACCACGTCATGGTCCATCTGATTCCTGCATACAGGCAGAAACTAAAGCTCTGCAAGCCTGTGGTGAGGGAATTCAAGAACTGGACCAGTCAGGTGCTGGAGGATTGTCAGAAAAATTCTCACTCGACACCAGCGTAAAATCAGCAAAACAGGTTATTTAATGTTCGCAAACACGAGGCAGAGTTGACACACATACAAGTCATACGCCAAGCCTGCTCAAAGGTTTTCATCTTTGGAGCAGGTATATATTCTGCAGGTATGGCATCAAAACATAGGGATGGTTACGCACGTACAGAAGACTGATTGTTTACCCTCACGGGACAGAACGTCCGTCCCGAGGCCAGCGCCCCTAATCTCGGCAGACAAGATGTCTGCCAGCTGAGGGTAGCAAAAACCCTGTGTAGTCTAGCCTTATTTATATCATGACACACATTATTTGCAGTTTTTCCAACAAGGATCTTCGGGCGTGCTTGGACTGCACAGACTGGGATGGTTTCAGGACTGCTACTAACAGTCTGGATGAGTTCACAGAGGCTGTAACCTCTTACATCGGCTTCTGTGAGGACAGCTGTGTACCATGATGCACCAGGGTTTCAACAACGACAAACCCTGGTTCACAGCGGAACTCCGAACACTACGCCTGCAAAAGGATCAGGCATTTAGGAGTGGGGACAAAGACTTGTATACAGAGTCAAAATACAAGTTTAGCAAGGCGGTGAGAGATGCTAAACAACTGTACTCTGAGAAACTCCAACAACAGTTCTCAGCAAGTGACTCTGCTTCGGTTTGGAGAGGCCTCAAACACCTCACAACCTACAAGCCAAAAACCCCCCACTCCATGAAACAGTTTCTTCCCATCGGCAGGCGGGCTCATCAACAGAGCCCGGTCCCCCACTGACTGATTCTGACATTCCACCGGTCACTTTCTTTCATAGTGCACACGTCACTTTACTGTCATTTTTCACTCGTCACTTTGTCACTTGTTCGCTAGTGCACTTTATTTTTTAACTTTTAAAATAATTTGTAACTTTAACTTTATTCTCTCATTTTAACGACGGACGAATGAAACTATCGGCCTACCTTCACAAGTTGTCACTATTGATTCGTCAACCCAGCCGTGGTAGTTCATCCAAACACCGGCCAAATGGCTAGGTTCAGGGTATATGCGCACATACAGAAATCCCCTCATCTTCATATGCAGCCCTCCTTTAGCCAAAGAAGGAAATGGACGAGATGAAAAAGATTCCTCATTCGTCAGAGGCCGTGCCATGCTACTGTCCAGACGATAAAGTTAGAAAAAAACACTTCCTAGAGCACGGGGAATGAAATATACAATGGCAATGATATTTACCAATGAATGAGGAGGCGGTCCATGCCTGCAGGGCGGTATTTAGCCCTGTGAAGCGCAGGTGGAAAGGGCGAGGGCGGGGGGGCGGCATAGGGGGGTATTTAGCGTTGTGATGGCGGCGGCGCCGGTGGTGGTGGTAGGGGGGGGGGTCTTGAGCGCTGTGAAGCGCGGTAGGAAGGGGAGTGGCGGTAGATGGATGAGGTAGGATGGAATGGGATTTGCGTTTTTAGTTTTTTTGTTTTTAATGGGGGAAAATGGGGGAGGGGCATATAACTTTTTGGCATTTGAGGACCAGACTCCTCATTCAATGGGTATATTTTATTCCCTGTGCTCCAGTAAGTGTTCTTTTCCAACTTCATTGACTGGACAGTAGCACAACGCCTGAGGAATGAGGAATCTTTTTCATCTCATCGATTTCTTTCTTGGGCAAAATGCAAGGCTGCAAATGAAGATGAGGGGATTTCTGTATCTGCGCACATACCCTGAACCTGGCCATTTGGCAGATGTTCAGATAACCTCACACAGAAATCCCCTCATCTTCATCTGCAGCCTTCCATTAACCCGTTTCATCTCACCCATTTCTTTCTTGGGCAAAATGCAAGGCCGCAAATGAAGATGAGGGAATTTCTGTATCTGCGCACATACCCTGAAACCGGTCATTTGGCCGATGTTCGGATAACCTCACACAGCCGGTTTGACAAATCAATAGTAACAACTTGTGAAGGTAGTCCAACAGTTTCATTCGGTTGTCATTGGAAACTGCGTTCTCGGTTTAATTTCTCAAGTTATTTATTATGCAAGGTAGACACACATGCCCCCCTCTATACTTTGTATTAAAGGCATGGCTAGTGGTAAAAATAGCATCTGTTCAATTATATTTATGATATTGTAATAAGATATTATGTCATATATTGAAATATAATGCTATATTTCTGATATTAGTTCTATATTATCTTAAATGGTATTAGAAATATGGAATACGATGCTATTTTATGATATTAGTTCTACGATATTCTGTTCTCAGTAATTATAAAGCCATATCTCCTGTATTAGTTCTACTATATTATGTCATATCAGTGTTTCCCCTATGTTCCCAACTATGGGGGGGGCGGACGTACCGGAGGGGGGCGTTGGTGTTGGGGCGCGCCGGGGGAAATAATGGTTATGGTCATTGGCCAGGTTCAGGGTATATGGGCAGATACAGAAATCCCCTCATCTTCATCTGCAGCCTTCCATTAACCCGTTTCATCTCACCCATTTCTTTCTTGGGCAAAATGCAAGGCCGCAAATGAAGATGAGGGAATTTCTGTATCTGCGCACATACCCTGAAACCGGTCATTTGGCCGATGTTCGGATAACCTCACACAGCCGGTTTGACAAATCAATAGTAACAACTTGTGAAGGTAGTCCAACAGTTTCATTCGGTCGTCAATTTCTCAAGTTATACATTATGCAAGGTAGACACACATGCCCCCCTCTATACTTTGTATTAAAGGCATGGCTAGTGGTAAAAATAGCATCTGTTCAATTATATTTATGATATTGTAATAAGATATTATGTCATATATTGAAATATAATGCTATATTTCTGATATTAGTTCTATATCATGTTAAATGGTATTAGAAATATGGAATACGATGCTATTTTATGATATTAGTTCTACGATATTCTGTTCTCAGTAATTATAAAGCCATATCTCCTGTATTAGTTCTACTATATTATGTCATATCAGTGTTTCCCCTATGTTCCCAACTATGGGGGGGCGGACGTACTGGAGGGGGGCGTTGGTGTTGGGGCGCGCCGGGGGAAATAATGGTAGGGAAAACACTGTATATGATATTAAGTTATATAATATTAGAAATACTAAGTATGATGGCATGTTTGTTATATTAGTCCTACATAATGCTATATGATATTAGTCCTATATTATCTTGTTATTATCTATGATATTACAAATATGAAGTATGATAATATGTTATATATATTGGCATGGCATCACTGTAATATTGGCATGGCATTATTGAAACTATAGAGGGGGACATGTGTGTCTACCTTGCCTAATGCATAACTTGAAAAATCAAACCGAGATCCCAATTTCCAACGACGGACGAATGAAACTATCGGCCTACCTTCACAAGTTGTCACTATTGATTCGTCAACCCAGCCGTGGTAGTTCATCCAAACACCGGCCAAATGGCCAGGTTCAGGGTATATGCGCAGATACAGAAATCCCCTCATCTTCATCTGCAGCCTTCCATTAACCCGTTTCATCTCATCCATTTCTTTCTTGGGCAAAATGCAAGGCCGCAAATGAAGATGAGGAGGGGGGCGTTGGTGTTGGGGCGCGCCCGGGGAAATAATGGTTATGGTCATTGGCCAGGTTCAGGGTATATGGGCAGATACAGAAATCCCCTCATCTTCATCTGCAGCCTTGCATTAGCCAAAGAACGAAATGGATGAGATGAAAAAGATTCCTCATCCTCAGAGGCCGTGCCATGCTACTGTCCAGACGATAAAGTTGGAAAAAAACACTTCCTAGAGCGCAGGGAATAAAATATACAATGGCAATGATATTTACCAATGAATGAGGAGGCGGTCCATGCCTGCGGGGGGGTATTTAGCGC